CTTGACAAATTTCAGATGAAAGAAAAGTATTTTTAATCTTAAAATCAAAATTACTTTGTACGTTGGATAGTCAACATTCCGAAAGAAAACATTCATATGCAAATGTTTAATAAAAAAAATCTTAAAACATAATTCAAAAACCAGATATTTTGTGTATGAAATCCTTGTAATGTTTACTAATAATATGCAAAATATTGTAAAGACTTGCATACATTTTTAAAAAAATTATAATACAATTACTCTCATAGGTACTTTCCTGGTTATGAGCTGGGTAGATTCCACCCAACCTGTAATGGAAGGGTTAACTTGTATTTGTGATATTTATATCATACTTTTAGATATTAAACATGGCAGATTTTCTCAATGATCAGTCAATGGCACCAGTAGAAATCTACAAGTATTAGAAAAGTCTTTGAAGTTACTTTTCAATTTTTATTTCAGCTTCTGTTTTGGGTTGTTTAAAAGATAGTTTGTCAGCTAAGTTACCCACGTTTTATGTTAAATGTACAGTGCCTCATATATCAGCCCAGTCTAATAGTTTTTTTTTAAAAAGTAGATTTATTTTTTTATCCAATAAATCTCTATTACTTAATCTTGTATGAATTTCTAAACCCAATAAAGGATAAAATACATAAAGTTGTTTCTTCAAAAACACACACTCAGGACAAATAACTTTAACTAATCATAAAACCATTTTATAACCATTTAGTTTGAATATATTGTATAACTTAGTAAACAACCTGACAATATAGGCTGACCTGTCGTGCCGCAGCACAAGAGCAGATGTAGGAACCATCTTCACCCAGAGTAATTTTGTTACGCTGAAGTATGTCACCGATGAATGGAGTCAGAGTGGAAATGGTTTCAAGTTAATTATTACTGCCTTTAAGGACTCAGGTATGGAATATTGTACTGTAAATTATTATTTTCAGTGGCTGAGATAGGTAGTGAGAAAATAGTATGGAGTCACCACTAATATATATTTTAATTTAATCATCATCCTAACCTCTAAGAGCCCAATTTGCTGTATTTAAGTTATCATCCATGTTGTTTAGTATTCAAATATATTCTTTGTTTAATGTTACATTCATTAACTTTATTGGTTAAAATGTTAAGTATGTCAATGTTCTATTATTTTTACCATAATGATTATTTTGCTTTATTAGCTTAGCATTTGGATTTATGACTAACTTTAATCTCCTAATCTGGCTGATCCTCATGATATGTTAAGGAGATTGTAGCCACAAATATTCCTAAGGGTGAGGGTACCCAACAGATGAAATAGTGCATTCCAATCATCAGAAGAAAGAACAGTATGTTTAGTTAGTTATACTCATTACTGAGTTGATTTTTACTTATGACCTACATAGGTAGTTTGCTTTATTCAGAAGTATTTACTGACCATAATTAATGGTTAAGATAACCTCTTGAGGTTCAGTTACTAGATTCTAGTTTGATTAAGGCTGTCATGATGCAATATATCTTTTATACTTATGGTCTGAGGTGTGTAAGTTTGGATTGGTCATATATGTTGGTTTGTATAACAAAGATCTCAGCAACAAGGTGATTCGTCTGGATTTTTGTCAGATGAAAATTAAAATAATTAAAGACATGGTCATAACGTACTCATTACCCCTTTTTTAAAGATTTAAGTTAAAAGATGCTAAATCTATTAATGTCACTTCCAAAGACTTAGTTATACAAGTGATTTCTTTGGTATCTCTGACCATCCCCTATTTCATTCCTCATTTTTTTGTATATATGGGAAATCTAATTATTAGTATTGTTACGTATCTGCTTGTTTGATAATTTCCAGTATAAATTCTGTCCGAGGAACTTCAGCGATATGAGTCCTTTCTTAATTAAAACTAGTTTATTTCTTCTCGATACAACTTTGTAATACACTTAATTTCCATAGTCACTTTATCTTAACTACTTTTATAAACACATGCTATAATTCACAGTGATTCACACATTTTACTTATGGTGCCTACTGCTCACTTGACTCAATTATCAATTATTTCTTTTCAATCTATCTCCAACTTATATACTAAAAAAGAGGGCGTCTAGCAAATGCTGGAACATTCATTCGTGAGGTTGCCTGATAAGTCACGATCCTTCTAGAAACTCCAGCACGCATGCTCCCAGTGTCGCGTGACTTCCGCTGTCGTAACAGTATCATGAAAACAGCAAATAAAGTAAAGAGTAGTTATTTGTCACTTCTATAAAATTAAAGATAAACTTAATTACTTTAGTGTGAACATAAAGTAATGTTAAAAACTGTAATATATTTGATTCTCTAAAGTTAGGCTTGACAGTGTTGGCAATAAGCTACTGGTATTTACATTTAGTATTGAGTATTTATTTCCAGGCTACAAACACAGTGGTTAAGACTAGTGTTGGAGTAGTTAAGCATTCACATGCAGTTTGTTAGGTGTGCAATGAGTTGATGGGTGCAATGAGTGGGTTTTATACGGGAACTCAAGACTAGTATATACTTTTAAGGAAGCTATAGTAGTGAAGATGTGCAATTTGTATGTAGAGTTTGTAGGTTGGAGGCTATCCTAATTAAAGTAGAGGTGATAGATAAAGAGAAGTGTAGACTGTGAGAAATGGCAGCAGGATTTAAGCTTTTACATGCAAGAGATACATCTGCTAATAATGACTTTCAGGAAGTTAGAAAGAGTGCTATTAGGGCCAAAATCAAAATTAGTGGATTTAATTAAAATGAGCTTATTCTATTCAGCAACAGCTTTCAGCCCTTGACTTGTACAGAAGGGGAACTATAAGGAAAACAAATGGGTAAGAGAAAGATGTGTATGATAAACTTAAGGAGGTTATAGTTATAGGTGATTCCTTTACAAGGCATGTGGATAGGATAGTCTGTGGGGTAAATAGTGAGAAAATAATTAGATGATGCAACTCAGAGGACACAGGTGGAGAATGTATATGACAGAGCAAAAGATATAATAAAGGGGACTAGCACTGATGCAGTTTTTGTTGTCCATGTAGGGGCTAATAATGTAGGGAAAAGTAGGTCAAAGGAGCTAATTAATAAGTACAATGGGTTGATAAAGGCATTTAAGAAAAAAGCCATGACTTAATTGTGTCGGAGATACTGCCGAGAATTAATTATGAGTAGGTCACTAAGTCACTTAATTAATATGTAAGGATGAGCAGATAGGCTGGTTGGACTTGTGGGATCAGTTCAATGAGAGAAGGGAGCTTTTTGGAATGGATGTTGCAAATAACTACCTTAGATAATGAATTCTTATTAGAAATAGCAAACAAAATTAAAAATTATATTTTTTCTGAAACTACATACTATTAGGAATGTTCTTGTCAAATTTCAAACAATTTCACCCACTAGTTTTAGTTTTGTAACAAAATATGATAAGAGTGAAGTTACTTATGCTCAGACAGAGAACCTGGACATCATCAGGTTAAAGAGGAGTCACCAAAGTAAAAAGTTAAAACAACTGAATATTTTTACACCTGAGTGCTAGAGACTCAAAATTACATTCTCTCACTGTTCACTAACTCAGTTTTTATTATTTATTTTGTGTTTTTCAATGAGATAATGAGACCAAAGAATCATAGACAAATAAATCATTTTTCATGATGGGAATAAAAAATAAACAGGAGTTAAAGTACTGACCCCAGTAGTATATCATTAATTAGAATACATTACTCAGTTGGAGAAACTGTGCTATCTAGCACCGTACCTGATAGATATTCCTGAAAGAAAATGATACAAAAACCTGAGTTGTAAAAAGTAAAATATTAGCAGTGACTTTAACTAACACAAACTTCTACCCATCAAGATCTTAAAAGACCAGTGAACTTGAATTTAATATACAAGAGGATGGTAAGGAAAGATTTTGTTTGAATAATTAGAATTTTGTTTGTCACCTTAAAATATTAGGCTACTAGGTTTATCTTCACTAGTTTTAAAGCTTAATGTTGATTTAACGTAAGTACTAGAGTTATTGACTGATCATCTTGCTATAGTTTCTTTTAATCATTATCTTAAGACAGTTACTTAAACATGGCTTTGAAAACTCCTTGAATTAAAGGGTGGATCAAAATTATTACATTTACTCAAAAATTAAATTAAACTTTTGTCAAGTTTGACAAAAGCAAATGTTGGTAGGAGAAATTAGCAGGACAACAGTTGTCATCCAGAATACTTTGGATTTTATTGCTATGTCAGTGATACAAAGCATGCGTGTTCATAGCTAAGTAAATATGGTTTGTAAAAATTAGAGTTGGTATGTTAAGAGAGAGTTTTATCATATATAATCATGTGTGGTAAACATATGAAATAGCCATGGCAACTACTCCTTCAAAAATTTAGAAAAAACATGGAAAAGATTTCCAATGGTCTGTATGAACCACATTAAAGAACAGATGAAAAGAATTAGCTCCTACGAAAATTAGTAAAAACAGATGGAGAAACTTAAAAATTATATGCATGATATTTGTTCAGATAAATTAACTATGGAGTGCATAAAAATAAAAATAAAAATTTGTTTCAGCTATTGGATGTCGAGATTTCCGATGTCTAAACAACTTCTGTATATCACAGGAGTTAATGTGTGATGGTGTGAACCACTGTGGTGACAACAGTGATGAAACAAGCCATGCTGATTGTGTAGGTAAGTATGAATCAAAACTTGTGTATATGGTTCTGATCATATTATTTGTTAGTTGTTCAAGTTGGAACAGATAAAACTTGTGGTTTCACTACATAAGATCACAAATTGGGGTTCCTGTTTCTGTAGATAATAATAAGTTGTGATTACAGTAATATTACCAACAATATCCCCTTATAATAAAATTCTTGTATTTATTTTACTAATGTATAAAGTGTCTGCAGTAATAGTACCAACAATATCCACTTATAATAACATTCTTGTATTTATTTTACTAATGTATAAAATGTCTGCAGTAATAGTACCAACAATATCCACTTATAATAACATTCTTGTATTTATTTTACTAATGTATAAAGTGTCTGCAGTAATAGTACCAACAATATCCACTTTTTATAACATTCTTGTATTTATTTTACTAATGTATAAAATGTCTGCAGTAATAGTACCTACAATATCCACTTATAATAACATTCTTGTATTTATTTTACTAATGTATAAAATGTCTGCAGTAATAGTACCTACAATATCCACTTATAATAACATTCTTGTATTTATTTTAATAATGTATAAAGTGTCTGCAATAATAGTACCAACAATATCCACTTATAATAACATTCTTGTATTTATTTTACTAATGTATAAAATGTCTGCAGTAATAGTATCTACAATATCCATTTATGATAACATTCTTGTATTTATTTTACTAATGTATAAAGTGTCTGCAGTAATAGCAACAACAATATCACCTTATGATAAAGTTTTTGTATTTATTTTACTAACTTTATTTTATATTATATCTGTGTACTTACAATGCTAGAAACTGGGTTTCTATACATGTGGTGGGCAGAGCACAGATAGCCCATTGTGTAGCTTTGTGCTTGAAAAACAAATCAACAGTATTACCTTATAATAATAAAGCTGTTGTATTCATTTTACTCTTTTTGTTTATTAAGCAAAATTAATCTCCATCTGTTCTTACAACTTATCATTATACAAAAAGAAATGGGGAGTACAAATTTAAGCTTAGGAAAGTACCTTTTTTTCAAGTAGTGTTAATGTATTAAGAATATTGATATTTTGTGTAAACTTGTCGATGTATTAAGAATACTGACATTTTGTGTAAACCTGTTGATGTATTATTTGAAGACAGTTCTTAAGATTGGAAGATTTATGGTGACTGTTAGATAAAGATTTGTTTTCTTAAGTCAGCTGCAGTTCGTTTAATTGGCCACAATAGTGTGACTTGCAATGCAAGCTTACTACGTGCAGCTATATGAGTATCACATGTAGCATCAGCTGCATGTACACAAAGAACGTGTATTTTTTGTTCGAAATACAGAAGCATGATTACTATTCTATATAATGTATTTTTAAACAATGTAAACATTTTATTTCACTTACAAGGGTTTTCAATCAAGTATAAGCTATTAGTTATGGTAATGTCAACAATAAATAATTCAAATTAGTACTATTAAACCTTTGTTCAGTAATGTTTTCCAAACCTTCAAATGTCAAAATCTACTCCTTGTCATTACAGCCCTAAAACTTTTATTTTTAAAAGAATAAAGACAGACAGCCAGTTATCCTTAAAGTAGTGATCCACACAAACCACCATTTATCCTTAGAGTATAGTGGTCCACACATAAAGACAGACCACCAGTTATCCTGAAAGTAATGGTCCACATGTAAAGACAGAACACTAGTTATCCTGAAAGTAGTGGTCCACATGTAAAGACAGAACACCAGTTACCCTTAGAAACTATTGGTCCACACATAAAGACAGAACACCAGTTATCCTTAGAAACTATTGGTACACACGTAAAGACAGAATACCAGTTACCCTTAGAAACTATTGGTACACACATAAAGACAGAACACCAGTTATCCTTAGAAACTATTGGTCCACACGTAAAGACAGAACACCAGTTACCCTTAGAAACTATTGGTCCACACGTAAAGACAGAACTCCAGTTACCCTTAGGAACTATTGGTCCACACATAAAGACAGAACACCAGTTATCCTTAGAAACTATTGGTCCACACGTAAAGACAGAACACCAGTTATCCTTAGAGTATAGTGGTCCACACATAAAGACAGACCACCAGTTATCCTGAAACTAGTGGTCCACACGTAAAGACAGAACACCAGTTACCCTTAGAATCTATTGGTTCACACATAAAAACAGAATCCTAGTTATCCTTAGAAATTATTGGTCCACACATAAAGACAGAACACCAGTTACCCTTAGAAACTATTGGTCACACATAAAGACAGAACACCAGTTACCCTTAGAAACTATTGGTCCACACATAAAGA